ACATAGTTAGGAGGTTTATAGGCGTGTCCACCATGAGAAGCAAGAAGTTTCATGTAAACGAAATGAAAGCGATATATGTTTGTATATATGAAACTCTCACTGATACTCTTGCTCTGCAGTGAAGATACTTGCAATTGACATTTGTCAAATCCAGCGTAGCCCCTTTTTGTTCCCTATCTTTATGGCTCATGCTGTCCTAAACCTCTCAACTTTACCCTAATTAGCATGTGAAAAAAATAATTTCTATCTGAATGATAGAATTGTCGAGCGCAATTGATAACGTTTTCTGGTGCAATATTTCTCCATGTGTTCTTGAACTTCTTGAACTTCAAATTGACAGATATCAAGTGGAAATTTAATTTAGTAGTCTTCATTTGAAGTGGTTATCATGTTTTCCTTTGACACTTGAATCCTTTACCTTTGGTGAAAGAGATATTATTCTGCTATATTTACCATTGTTATGTTTCGTATTATGTTTTTAGGCCATTTATTTCTTGATTATTTAATTTCTGTTGTACTTACGTTTCCCTTGATGGAAGAAGCTGCATGTCAAGCTTGTGGAGAAAGTGCTAATGTTCTCTCCTGAGATGTATGATTCCGTTTCAATCTTGATTCTGTGCCTCTGTTTGTAACTGATGATTGTTATTTCTTTTTTCACCCTTCTACATTTTATCTACACTGCCAAGTGAAATTTGGCATTGGAGAAGTCAAAACCTTTGATTAGCAAAGCTGCTATGTGGAAAAGATCAACTGTTCTGCAGAGTAAATGGTACGTGATATCCGATCGTTTCTCTTTTGGCATAAGAAAAGCTAGACAAAAATTTACAGTTCTGAAGTTTTTTTGTTCTGATTTCTCCAATGCATGCATGGTTTTTTTTCCATATTTCTGTAATCTGCAACATAAGGCTACTTTTCGGGATCAGATTTGCTTGCCCTTTACTGTCCAGCTAAAAGTTCTCAATTCTAAACATGGTCGGCCCCCAACTGATTTTATTACCTGTTTCAAGCACAGCATGGGAGTAGTTAGGCACTGTTCTTACTTTTTTGAAAGCCATTGTATCCTTAAATGTATCATTTTACTCTTTACACAGCAGGAGAAACCAGACCCTCGTGTCACACAGTTGCTCTAGGAAACTTAAATTAATTCATTCATCAAATCATTAAATATCTTCATGTTTCCCTTCTCCTCCCTCTAGATTTTAAAAAGGTCCACCAGAATTTTTATGAATGGCTTTAATTACTATCACCCGAACATCATGGTGACTATGTTTCTGTTATGTTCTTGATTTTTGGAAGTAGTAGGGGAGGCCAAAGGGTAAGTACAGAGAAAAAGGGTTTCTGATTCTGAGATAAGGAGGTCCTCCTTTATGTTTTCTTGATTCTGTTGGCTGGTAGATATCCTAAGAAGGTGGCTGGACAGACCCTCGCAATGTTGTTCCAAACATTCCTCTACTTGTACTTACTGCTAATCCTGTTGCTATGAATCTATGATAGAGAAATTCACAAGAAACTCTTAGCATCCAATACAGCATATAGCAGTAAATCGTTCTTGGTGCTAGCAAAAGTCGTTTTTTATGGCTACATTTTGGAAATGATTTGTCCACTAATTTGTTTGTCGAAAAGCTTTTCCAGGGAGAAGTGCCGTGTGTGCTACGTTTATGAACAATGGTCAGGAACCGAAAGCAAAATCTTTACAAGGGAAAGTGGAAGACAAGGTAAAGGTTCATTACCCCTTCCCTTTATTTTTCATATTCTGGATATGAAGTTGAATGTTCATTATATAGCCTGCCCTGTTTTTCTGCCTTTGATGGTAATCATATGAGTAAAATTGTTAGTGATTGGGCCTTTGTGCATTAGGGTGAGTTTTATTTGACTTTTGGACAATAGAAAGAGCTTCTAAAACCTTGGTTATAATCAAAAGCCATGTGCTTTTAGTGGAATTGCTTAATCAAAAAGCACTCACTTAAAAGGTACATAAAATTGATTCTATGGCTCTCACTCTTAGTCTATGTTTGGGGGGTATTTATCTGCTCCTATTGCTCGACCTGAAAACACTTCGAGAGAAAATTTTGATGAGTATGGAACACTAAAATGATGGTTAAATTTTAATTTTATTCTCTATAGTTGGTAGTAAAACTTGAAATTGTCATAGTAGTTTGATAAAATTTCATAAACAATCTCTATGGTTTGATGAAACTTAGGAACTAAATCCTTACTTGGTAGAGATTAAATTTGTAATTTAACGACGGTGATCATTGACAGTGACTAGTTTATTTTCTATAGATATTTTGGTCGGGATTCGTTGACTTTGAATGTTTGTATTAAATTGACATTGAAATACAAACCACCCACGATTTGCCAAGGAACTATTGCTTTTGGTTGTGGTGGTGCTTTTAGAATTTGTTGTTCTTCTTGCTCCACTGAACATTGTGACCATTTATTTCATTAAAAAAAGGCTTTAGTTGGTTGGTTGGTTGGTTAGTTGGTTAGTATGGTTTATCTCATCATTAGTTTCTTTATTTTATTTTGGTTGTCAAATTATGAACGACTAGGAATCCTTTCATCTCCACCTTTCTTAGACATATGACCCCGATTTAATTTCATAGGGTAAGGTACGACTTTAATAATAAGATGATGTAGAAGGTCAGCAGTAACAGTTTATAAGGTTAGTTTAAACTTAATCATTCAATTATGTTGGGTTCAACCCTAAACTTGAATAAGTAGTGAAAGTAAGAGTAACCCGTTGCTGGTCATCTAGAGTGTTTCGACATCTAGAGTGTTTCGACCGGTATCTTTATCCCTATAGTTATTGAATGAAGATGCAATAATCCATTTTGCCTGTTAGTGGAAAGCATGAGAAAGGTAGGACACCCCATAATCCTTAGTGCTGCAAATTCTTTGCTCCCCACTTGAATTCAAAGTTCAAAGTACTTGTTTGGAGACCATGTGGTTGTCTTTGTGCCTTTCAATCTCAGATTCCCACATCACTAAAAAAAAAAAAAAAAACCCTTACTTTTTATTAACGTTGTGGCTTTGTAAACTTTCTTTTGTTTTTTCTTTGCTTCATTAACTTAAAGCTTTGCCTAACGAAATACGTAGTCATACTCGACTGTGACAGTGTAGAAATTTCTCTATCGGTTTCTTCATTGCTATTCAATTGTTCTGCAGGTTGTACTGCTCATGTCCTTTAAATTCTATGTTAATGCAACATAGATTATGATTTAATGAAAAGATTTGTTTTGTGGGAGTAGACAGGTTTGGTCAAAAGTTGCGACTAGGTGCAAGTTGATGTCACATATCATTTAGGAAGAGTAGTCGAAAGCTAAGGTTTGAGAACAAGGTAAAAAAATTGAGTGCTTCGTTGATTGATTTTTTTATTTTTTATTATTATAGTAATACTTTGGTGAGTGGTTGAAGTTAAAGAGAAAAAAATCTTAATTTTTTAAGCTTTAAATTTCTTGAAATAGGTAACATCTTATCAATTCATCGATTATTTTGTAATATTACTGAAATGAAATATTTTTGACACAAATAATAGGAATTGCCAAATTGGAGCTATAGATTATATTTGGTAGCGTAGGGGAATAGGATGATTGTGTTTTTGTATGCTTTTGACTTTTGAAGAACATTTTTGTATCGTTCTGTGATTAGTTAAGACGTGTGCAAGCTGGCTCGGATACTTGTATATACAAAATAAGGCACTTTTCCTCTTATATTTTCTTCTTGATAGACAATTTTCTTCTTGTTAGACAGATTTAGAATAGATACGAGGTTTTTGGTGTGAGAGTAAATAACGGGAAAAGGGAGAAAGGAATTGAATAGAGAGTTAATGAAGGAGTGGTCCATGCATGATGATTCAATGGCATTGGCAACCAACCAACAATAGAGAGGCCCTAAAACCAAACCATCAATGTATTAAATATCTTATAAGATAATGTTATTTATAAAAAAGAAATTATAAAAATAAAAAAATAAAAAACGAAGAAGAAGAAGGGGGAGAAACCTTAACTTACTACCTTCATCCCCTTCCTCTCTTCTGTTTCCTCTTTCCCTTTGCCTCCTCCTTTCTCTCTCTCTCTCTCTCTCTCTCTCTCTCTCTCTCTCTCTCTCTCTCCTTGCATCTCTCTCACTCTCTCTCTCTCCCTCTCTCTCCTTGCATCTCTCTCACTCTCTCTCTCTCTCTCCCTCCCTCTCCCCATCCTTACCTCTCTCTCCCTCTCTCTATCCTTACATCTCTCTCACTCTCTCTATCTCTCTCCCTCCCTCTCCCCATCCTTACATCTCTCTCCCTCTCTCTATCCTTACATCTCTCTCCCTCTCTCTATCCCTCTCTCTATCCTTACATCTCTCTCCCTCTCTCTCACTCTCTCTCACTCTCTCTCTCTCACTCTCTCTCTCTCTCTCCCCCCCTCTCCCCATCCTTACATCTCTCTCCCTCTCTCTATCCTTACATCTCTCTCCCTCTCTCTTTCTCTCTCTGAATGGAGGGAAGCAATGAGCATCACAATTTCTTGTCAGGAAAATGAAGGCTGAGCAACCCATTTCATCCACACACACACACACAAAGCACCAACAAAATAGAACCAAAACAAAAAGGATAAAATAAAGAAAGAAAGAAAGAAAGAGTCTCCTCTCTTGACGCAGTCCCATCAATCCCAATTTCCAACAACACATCAAAAACTCACCATTTACAAACCATCCCCTCCCTCCCAATCCAACGGTAGGGATTCACTTCCCCCCTCTCATCTACCGCCCATATTCATCCACCTCTCTCGTCACTTTTCCTACCGCTCAACATATTAAGACATATACATCTGATCGAAAGATTGTAAGTTTAACGTATCTACAAGTAACAAATTTTCTCATACAAAAGATAAGATATATTTTCTTGAAAAAAATTAATAATTGTCGAGGGGACATAGTGCGTCCTTGAACCGACACCCACCTTTCGACTAACCTAACTTCTTCCATCTCTCAGGACCATTAGGAAATAGGTAGTACATGAATTTCCCCAATTGTCCTTGACCAGTCTTTCTACTTGATTCAATGGACTAACACCTTCGTGTACTACCCAAATAGTTTGATTCACGACATCGAGTATTTGCTCTTCCGACATGGTCGGCACAAATATTAGACTAAGTTATGGTTTTCCCATGACTTTTAGCTTTAAAGCTCTCATCTTTCTCTCTCCTCCTCCTCCTCATGCTTCCATGAACTGATTTAAAGCTTGGAAGAACCGAGTCTTAGTGTCTGTCTTCTTCTTCTTCTTCTTATTAGAAAAAACCCAACACATCAAAAACACAGTATGATTGATAAGATGAAAAAAAAACCCACAAATTTTAGTCCTTTTTTTCCCCCTTTTTCCCACTCCCCACTGTACTTGTTCCTCTAACTTAAAAATCTTTCCTTTTTTGGGAAATTTCTCTGTTCTTTTCTTTGTTTTTCTGTTTCTGTTTTTGTTTGGTTTTTTTTTTTTTTTCTCTGTTCTTCAAATGAGTGTCGCCACTGTTTTATCAGCTCATCAGAACAACGACCAAAAGCAAGTGTTTATGCTTGTTTTTGTTGTGTTATTTTTCTCTTCTTTACCCTAAAAACCCTAATTACTTAAAAACTTCCATATGGGCAGCTAGAATTATGAGATTTCTTGCTTTTTTGGCATTTTTCTTTATATGGGTTTCCAAAATTTTCTCATTTGATTCAACCCATTTTGCCAAAACCCCATTTTTTCTTCCAAAGGGTTCCCTTAAAAGGGATTCTGTACTCCCCAGGCAGAGTGTTTCACGTGTTAGTTAGGCCCCCCAGACCACCCCGGACCGCTCGGATCCCACGAGTAAATAGAAGCCGAAGCAATACTAAACGAGCAGCCGTCCTAACCTGCAGGGGTCATGTAAATACATAGGCATTGGCACATTTTCATTATTTTTCTTCATTCTATGGCGATGGTGTTTGTAAGATTTGAAGTTGACAGAAGAGAGTGAGCACACAGAGGCTTTTGGTATGATTATATGCCATTGCTCTTGCGTGCTCACTTCTCTTTCTGTCAGCTTCCATCGCCAATTCCTTCTTTCTTCTCTTTTTTTGCCTAATTTTTGTTTGAAATGAAGTTTCTGCTATTGTTTTTGTTATATTTTTCTTGGTTTTGATGATTTTTTTTTTATGTAATTTCACTGTATGGAATCGGCTACTGTACATTGTTAATGGTAATGGACTCTCCAATAATGCTTCAATTTCCAGGTTTTCTCTCTCTTTTAACTCCTTTTTTTCATTCATTTTAGCCTTTTCTGCTTTAAATCTTTTGGTTTAGGGTTGAATTGAGATGGGTTTTCATATTTTGAGTTGTAAATCCAATTTTAGGGTTAATAATTTGTATTTTGTTGGTTTTGAAACCTAAATCTTGGTGGAATTCTCTTGAACAGTTTTTTTTTCTTGAATTCTTGATACTATTGAAGGGTTGTTCTTAAAATCGAGTTATCTACTGGAACTTTGTTACGATTTCTCCTTCATCTAAATGATAAGGTGTAGTGGATTTCTCACGACACCGCAGACAAGAATTGCTCACGTCGCGGCGATTCGAACAATTCATTGAACTATTCAATCAAGCGACAAACGATGTGTATAAAGGGCAAGTCGAACCTTCTCCTCCTCATGTCGCGGTGATCCGAACAATTCATTGAACTATTCAATCAATAGGAGAGGCAAGCGGTGTGTACAAAGGGCAGGTCGAACCTCCTCCTCCTCCTTACCCTTTTTGAGGATTTTTGAAACAAGGAAACTGGTAATCTTTTTACTGTTTTTTACTTAATTTTGTTTTGAAGATCTTATCCTACATTTGAAGACAGTCGAACGTGAAATTGCAGTGACAAGAAGTAATCGGAACTTTTTTGTATTAACTTAATTTTGGAATTCAATTATTACATCATTGACTACTTTTACATCTTTTTGTTTTGGTGCTAATATTTTAACTCATTATATTGGCTAAAGGACCAATATAAGTTATTAGATCTTGCCTTCTTGATGTATGCTCATCTTTTCTTTGTTCAAACTGTTTGTACTTGTTGATTCGATTTGATTTTGATCTAATTTTATGGTGTATGGTTGGCATTAAAATTAGAATAATCACGTGATTCAGAAATTTAACTACGAGAAATTGTCATTTGTGGTAAAGACTCTACTTTAGTTAGTGTTAGGAGCTTAGGCAACTGAGGTAATAGATCTTTTCTATTGATGAGAGATCAAACTTTGAATTTTACGAATCTGTTGCAACTTTTACATTAATTTATGTGTTTGTTTCGATATTTGGTTGGCGATATCACTTGCAAGATCTTTTTTTGTTTGTTTGTGTGTTTCAATTACTCTTCTAGTACTTTTTTATGGTCCTATATATGGTTTAAATGTTTCTCACAGCTTCTCTGTTAGCTTTTGTGAGCAGGTAATGCTTTTGAATGGATCAATTCCTTGGATAAATTTGGTTTGCTCTACATTCTATAGATATACTTCTTCAAAGCTTTAATCGCTTTCTTGGGCTATTGAAATATAACAATGCTTATTTCATAATCTTTCTTCACAAGGAAGTTAAAGTGGGTTCATTGGTACATGATTTTGTAAGTATGTTCATTTCAAGATATTAACTGTCTATGAACCATTTGATACTAATTGCTTGTTGAGCTTTTATTCAGTTGGTTTGAGGGATTGAAGTTTCTTATATATATATTGGCACTCAAAGGAAGTAAATGAAGAGATAGAAGTTCCTTGTGTTCTTGGGGAATAATTTCATATCATATCAGTACATGAAGATCTTCACATGGTAATGAATCATAAAATCTAGTGAATTACTTCAATTGTTTGACTCCTTGTAGCAAGGTCGAGTTGCTTACTGCAACAAAGTTAGTCAAAATCTCGCACAAATTTACAAATATACAATATAGCATTGATTTTGACTGTATATATGCTAGATAAATGAGAACAATAAAGTTACCATTGCCGATTCTTGGACAGAGCTTGACTCGAAGCCGTCCCCATGTCATCGAGGTCAAAAGAATCATACGACGACACATTCTACAAATGAAAACTTCGAAAGGGTTAGACATGAAACAAAATCTAGACTTCTGATTCAGGATGTTTTGTTGGGCATTCATTTATAAAGCTTGGTTTCAAGTAGGAAATGATTGTTTGGCTGATGCTGCCAATGACTTTAGATTGAACATATACTCTAAAGTTCAATCGTATTGGTTTTTGGACTTCCGCACCCAGATGGATAGTAGTTAGTAGGTTTGGTAATACAATTTGAATATACATTGCTGTATAAGTTCTCTTGTTTTGAGATGTAGGGAGCAGAAAATAGACCATATATAGAAAGCAAGTACACAAATTTAAATTTCCTTAGCCAGTTTCATGGTGTTCATACTGTAATAATCATAAGAGATGAAAATCTATTGGTATCTGACTTAGATAATGTCAAAATACTAGCAGCATCCCAAAGTAGACCCACTTCTAAACAGTGCATCAGTTCAAGAATGTGTAACTGAGAGACTATTGGTTGAATCACTAACCAGTTAGTACGACACGCTGGAGCCACCCAAGGAGAGAACCTAGCACCAAAAACACGAAAGAACACGTAACCTTATCGGTTCGCATTAAACTAATCACAGTCGTCAGAAGCACGAATGAAATTTTAGTATAAACAACCAATGGGAGCAAATTTTGAAGCTCTAAACATATGATATAATGATTTGGCAAAGCAAAACAAGGGTTAGATTGTTGTTGAATGCTTAGAAGTTGGAGGGAAAAGTACAGCAGCTGTATACATTTTACTTCAGAGCTTTAGCACTAAATGCGCTCATAAACAGTTAACATGAGAATCATTTCTAAGATTGCCTGAACCAAGTCAGAATCTACTGTTCTTGATGAGCTTCCATGTACATTTTTCTTTCTTTTCATAAAATTGTAAATGAAGAATAAGACTGAAAAAAACAGTACAATTTGAAACTGAAATGACAGAAGTGAAAAAAGATACCTTTACTTCAGGTGTAATTGCAGTACTTTATCAGCCTATCCGCTGCCCTCAGAAACAGTGAAAGTTTGTCACTTTTTATCGGTACTCTTGTTCTTGTCCTTTTTTTTATGCACTTGTTTTTTTTTTTTTTCCCTTACTTCCACATACCCAATTGAACAAACAGTTCATATCCTTTCACTTTTTGCTTATCTCAATCTGTTTTTTTTGCTGCAAAATTTCTCGTCTTTATTCTCTTTTACAATACAATCATTTGAGGTGAGGTGAGGTGAGGGCCTGCAAGTATTGTGTCATATCACTCCAGAATTTCTAACGATAAGATAATGTCAAGACTTACTTCTGCACAAAAAGCTTGGCTGGAAATGATATACTCTTAAATAGCCAATAAATGAACATTTCAAAGAGATTTTATCAGGAAAATTTAATTGAACAAGATTACAAAGTTTGTGGAAGAGTGTCAAGCAGTTAATGCACTTTTGGAAAGAGCCCCAGCTGCAAATAAGAGATTCCTAATCAGAAAGAAAATGAAATCAAGTTTAGATAACAGTTATGGGGCTCACTTTTCAGTCTTCTGCAGTACAATGCATACAGTCGTTAACTTTGTTAATGTCAAATTTTAACTGAAACATCTAAAACTATTTTAGGGAGAACTCACTTTTCATCTATTCCTGGTGCCTTTGAGCTTGAATTTACGTCCCATAATTTCACTGAGCAATCATCAGAGCCAGGGGCAAGGAGAGAGCCCTCACAACTGAAGTGGAAAACAACAAGTATTGGAGGATTGTTTATGTCAACATCTGAACTCTGAATGTAGGCAGGGATGTGGGGTGGGTGAAAATTTTTCTTTTATCCACCTGAAAGAAAGGGTCCAAACGCATGATGTGTGTCCAATCAAAGGTGTAACACAGCGACCAAGTGATAGGTCCCACATCATAATCATACCGTCTTCGTCACCAGATGCCATGAACTGACCATCAGGTGACATTGCCAGCGATAGAATCATGCTCCTATGACCCATGAAAATTCGAACACATTCCCCACTTTCGACATCCCACAATCTAACAGCTCTATCACTTGAACCAGTTGTGATGTAATTGCAGTTGGCATGCCATTGAACACACTTTAGAGATCGTGAGATTTGTTATGGTTCATATTTACCAGAAACATTAGGATCAAGCAACAAAAAAATCATCAATAAAAAGTTTAGATATTTGTTCTCGAAGATAAGGTTTTAAACTACAAAAAAAATCAGTGTTACGATTACGACTTCCATTATTAAAGGGAGAGGGAATTGTACTGCAGAAGACTAGTTACAAATAAGAAAACGACTGCATGCAGAGAGAGAATGATGCTTCAAATTTGAGGGGAAAAGGACAAACCCAGGTAGGAAGAAAAATGACCCCACTATCTGCTTGAATATTCTAAATATAAAAATGGATCTGCTTTTAGAGATATTTGGATGGCTGCATATGGTTCCAACTTAATATCTTAGCAATAAAATATCATAGAAGGAATAAAGAATGAACTGCTCACATCCACATCGGACAAATGTCCTGCGATTAAAATGAAGTATAAACAGAAAAGACTATTGAAACTTGAGAAAGAGAGAGTGAGCAACCTTTCTATCGATAAAGAATTAAGAAACTAGAATTCAAAAAATAACAAAGCAAACACAGGAACAACACCTTGCGAAGACAGGAACAACAACAGAAGGAATAAGGAACAAGATCAATTCTTTTAGATATGGTGTTCACCCATAAACTACGTACTAACCCAAGCAAAGGAGTTACCATTCAAGATCACAGTATCAAACCATTAATCGGCCTCCTAACCTCCCTTCAATTCTTTATTAAAAGTACGTATAATTAATGAACAAACCCTTGCTCTGTCCACGTCTTAGTAATTTGAAAAAAGTCTGTTTCTTTGATTGTGTCTTTTCACCCAGTGCTTTGTTTTTGTTTCCCTCTTTAAATACTAGGATCAGGACTGCTTCTTGTTTTTATATCCTTATTCTATACTTTAGCAAACGTCCTTTCCTACGTATATGAGATATTTTAAGTGAACATCTTTCTTAGTCGCAAGGTCCGGCGAAAGAATAGAAAAGGTGATTTCACTATTTCTGACCAAGAACAAGCCCTATCAGAAGAATACTTTTTTTAGTGGGACGATAGCTTGCCTATCAGGTCTTATATTAGGAAGTATGGGAATACTATTATTTAACAACTCCATTTTTTCTGCTCGAAAATCACTTCTCCCCTTTTTTTCTAGAAGAGCTGTAGGGAGTTGTGTATATGTTCACAGAAAAAGAAGCTGAATTCCAAATATCCTAGAAAAGTTGCGAGCATGTATTAAAAGAGAAAGAGGCATGGTTTTAGGACACTCAAGAATCTATCACATACCTTCTTCTTCTTTTGTTTTTCTTTTATTATTATTACTATTATTTTTATTTTATGTTTTTGGTTGGGAGGTGGGAGTAGTAAGAGTGAGACATCCTCGCAGTGTGTTTGCAAGGGGCTTCTAAATAGTCAGATTTCTTACCCTCCTTCTTCAGCTACCTACTAACTAAATGATGAGAAGAATCAATGAAAGCCTTACATCCTAGAACGACGATGATTCAAGAAAAACCAACCCCTTTCCTTAAAAGTTCCAATCCTCATGATATCACCTCTTTTATGAACGGCTTGAATTTTTTTTTTTTTTCTCCCTCTTTTTTCCCCCTCCGTATAGGCTAAGTTACTTTGTTTCAGATCGCAACTCAAATACTTGAGATATTCTACATCAAAAGACGTTGAGGATTAAATAATTACAAATTTGAGTAGATTAATGAACAGCATCTCTCACTGCGTCTCCCGTGTGATACAACTACAAATGTTGAATAATGAAGTCAAGAGTGAAGACCTTTAGTGATGGGACCAAATAGTGAAAGAGAACTAGAAAATTGTCGCCCTTCCTCATCATTGCTGGACTCTATTTCTGACACTCTAACTCACGGCTAACAACCTCCTCACTCCATATTTCACTTTAACAAACTCTAACGGATACTGATAGCCTATACACCAGTTAAACTACGCAGCAACCACATATATCTAATAAAATCATTACCTGAACATCCCATACTGGGTAATTGTGACCTTTGTAGCAAACAAGACTGGCGTTTAGTTTTATTCTCCACAAACGAACTGCAACAGTACAACAGAAATATTCATAATCTCAAGAAAGAAAACAAAAGTGCAATTAAGATCATACCAGTTGTGTCTGCAGAGGAGAAAAGAACAAAATCCCCAATGGGACTGAAAGTGGCAGAGTGAACAGGCCCAGAACGACCTTGAAACAATGTATAAGACCACTTGCCACTTGTATGCCCTCTCATTTGATCACTAGTATACAAGCCGTTTTCACCCTGCAAAACAGCTGGTAGAGGTGATAGCGAAGGTCAAAATCCATTCTGAAAATATCTGAGCAAAAAAAATTCTAAAGAAAAACTCATGATGATGCCTAGTGTGACACCAAGAGAAAACAAGCTTTTCTAACTGATAATGAAATCTGGAAGAGGGAAATGGTAAATAGTTGGAGACTTAACTCAAAATTGGTGCATGGAGAAGATGAATAGGTCTCCTGAAGTAGGAGATAGGAAATTGTTCGA